TAACTGCCCTGCCTGAAGCAATTGGTCCTGAATTGGTCCTCTCCAGTGGGTCCCACCAAAGCCAGGCTCATTATAGCCTACATGCCATATAGCCTATGACTGCCATACAGCCGGTGCGGACCATAATGCCATGTGTGCCATACTGCCCATGCCAGCCACCCATACCATACTCATTGCTTGGCAGAGATTTCAGAGCTCCCAAGCTGCTCAGCCCCCAGACTCATCTCCGACCCCCCAGCAGTGCCAGGATCATGTTCCGTGAAGCGCCCTGGGGCTGGCCCCGTGGCAGGTCCGGCTGCCGGAAGGGAGCTGTGGCGGAGCTCTCCTTCAAAGAGGCCAACGCTTGGAAACAAATGTCAGGGTCTTAAATCCTTTCGGAGGCCCCTAACAGCGCTGGCCAAAGGGGCTCCCGTCACTCCTCCCCGTCTGTCCGCCTCCCCCGTGCCCACCAGCATGGATGGGAATGCTGCGCTTGAGGCTCGGTTTCTCTCTCGCTTCCCACCCGGGAGCCTGGCTGGCCTCTGGTGTCGGGCCACTCTTGTGAGCAGGGCTGGCGTTAGGGAGCACAGGCCGCCGAAGGCCAGGTGCTTGCGCTCTGCTCGGAGCCACGGCGCTTGGTACTTTTCTTGACCTCCAAGGCCAGCTTCCAGGGCCGGCTTGCTCTGAGCTCCCCGCATGGGAACAGCGCCATCAGGGTTATTCGGGGTGACTCTGCTCCCTCCTGCCGGCACCACGCTAACCCAGCCACAGCGCCCTCCTGCTGGCGACGAGGAGAGTGGCCGGCAGGTGGGCCGATGGCTACGCACTGAGCAGTGAGCAGGAGGCATGAATGCAGCCGGACGTTTGGCTCTTGGGAGGAAGCCAGGAGGGCAGATGGGCAGACAGTGGCTGGCGCAGATGTTCCGCATGAAGGAGCTCGTCCCCCCAACCCCCTTCCAGCCTGGGGAGTATTAAAATTAAAAGCAGCATTTCAAAATTGGTAGCTGTTCTCCAAGACCTTAATTAGCGAATCTCCTCCCCCCAGGCTGTAATGTAATAATCAAAAACCAAAACCAATCCCTTATCTGAGGGATTGGGAGCAGCTCTGCATGCTTAGGCTGGTAATTAAACACTTCAGTTGCAATTATTTTTGCAATTAGATAAGTCTCTAATTGTTATCATAGGTGGCAGAGTTGGGGGGTTTTTGTGCTTGTTCCAGTGAGCTATTCTCCAAGGGCTGGGATCAGCACGGCTGCTGCGGGTGTAACCCACACTCCTCCTGGGTGTGGTGTTGTCCCATCTAGCGGCTCCGAGACCGCTGAGTCTGTTCTACAGTCTTAGCTAACAGCCAGTTGAGGCTCCCACACTAAGCTCAACACTTTCCCAGGTCTGATCCCGCCCGCCAACGACCAGGGTCTGTCGGTGTTACATGGGCGCTTCCGGTTCCAGCCCTTGCTGCTTTGCCCAGAGAATGGAGATCCTCGCAAACGTTTGGGGGCCCATTGCAGTGGGTTGGGGCACCTCTGTGCAAAGCCCTTGGGGGTGCAGTTCTGTCCTAGGGGATCCCTGCAGGTCCTCGGTTGCAAGGTGGTGCTGTGCCCGGGGATGTGAGGGATCCCAGAGGAAGAGTCTAGGGCAGTTTCAGCTCTTCTCTCCCCAGTTCAGTCCTGCTGTGCCGAATGCCCCTGCAAGGACTAGTGCCCTCAGCTCCACCAAGTAAGGCGGGGCGTAAAATTGGCATGTGCGTGGGAGACTGGCAGCCACATGTGGCTCCAGCCCACGGCGTGTAGAGGGCCAGAGTGGGGCTTTCACTGCAGACAGCTCCCACTGGGCTTCCTGGCCTGGCCCTATCTCCTCGCACAGCCCGTCTCTCAGCCACCCCCGAGCTGTCCCCGCGGCAGAGAACACCAAAATAAAGCCCCAGCGTGGGCCCCGGCTCCCAGAGCTTTTCCATCAGCCATCTCCGCCGGCGCCCGCCAAGCTCGAGCTCTGACCCAGGGACCCCAGCAGGAGCCTTCTTACACCCCACACTTCTCTCTAGGCCGTCTGCCTGGAAGTCACCTAGGAGCTGGATTCTTTCTCCTGCTCTAGGCGTCTACCCACTCCCAGTAACTTCCTCGCCCCATTGAGCTCTTGCTGGACCAGCTGTTCTTCAGCCAGCACCTGACCCCCAGCCCTAGGTGGGGCCAGTCACACTGTGACAGGTGGGTAAAAGGACCTAGCAAGAGGTTATACCAGCTCCCTCCCCATGGCTCCCATGTGTTGCAAAGGTAACCCTGGCCCTTCCATCTCCCCCCTCCCCACCCCGTTGGCTGTCAGCTTCATGCTGGTTTCAATTTAGTTTGCGCTATGAGCTCCCTGGGGCATTTGTCTGCAAAGTGCAGGGGCCAGCTCTGGGCTCGGGGACAGATGAATGCTAGGAAACCATTCCAGAGACAAAGCAAACACTAACGACAGTTAGGGCTGGGCTGGCCTTTTCCTTCCTAACCCTTTTTCCCCATGGAAAATTGGGGTTTTGACGCAACAAAAATCTTCATAGCAAACGTTGGCTTTGCTGCTGTAGTAACCATGCAGTGCTGGGGGCTGGCTCAGCACAGCGGCAGGCTGCGTCTGGGCTGAGCAGGGCTGATTTATGTCTTTGGACCGTATGCACCCAGCACCGCATCTTGTGTGTCGTTTACCCCTGTGCAGTGTGCAAAATGCTCCCAGAGCAGCACAGGTGTGTCCTAGCCAGGCTTTGCCCAGGTGCAAGTGACACGCCCGGCGCAGAGCAGCCGTGCAGGACAGCTACTTGGGGATTTGTTGATAAAACTTTTTTTGGTCAGAAAAACGCTAATTTGTTGAAACTAAAACTGTCTGTGGGAAAGGGTCATTCTGAAAAATGTGGGGGGGAGGAGAAGCTTTGAAATGGCTAAAGTGAAAAATTTGGGGGTTTCTTTGTTTCACAATAACTTTGGGTTTAGAAATTGAAGCAAAAAAGGAAAAAAAAAAATTGAAACGAAACATTTCAAAAATGTTGAGACAAAAGCTTTAGCTTGACCCCAACAGATTTTTTTTTCAGCTTATTGGTTCACAGAAATTTCTGAGCTTGGGATTCTTTTGTCCTGATTTAGGACTGGAATTCTGTTGGCAATCTCAATTTTCCCCCCAGGACGTGCAAACAGTTTCCCACTGCGAAGCGGGAGCCCTTTGACCTCTGCCTGGCTAGAGCTGAACTCTGTGCTAGGCTGGTGGCTCGGGGGAGGAGTTGATCCTCATGGGGGGAGCTGGGCAGCCTGGGGCAGCTTTCAGAACCCAGGCCCAGGGCCCGGGGCCAGGAGGAGAGAGGCCGCCTGACGCCTGAATCGGCTGTGCCGGGGCAGCAGGCAGGTGGCGCTCTTGCACTGTGCTCCTGCTTCCCGCTGTGCTCCCCAGCTCCCCGAATTGTGCAGGGACAAGGTGGGTGAGGTTCTAGCTTTTATTGGCCGGGGAGAGCCAGACGCTGTTGAGCGACACAGAGCTGTGCAGTGAGTTTCCTTCTCTCTTCGGGACTCCTTAGGCGTGTGATGTGGCATTACCCGTTAGAGTCTGGCTGGGCCGGCCCTTTAAACCCCGGTCCCCTCCCCAGCTTTTGCAGCCCTCTGCCCCCTGCAAGATGTTTCGAGGTCTGCGCTGAACTGGGAGAAGCGACGGCTCTGTATGAGGAGGAGGCGGAGGAGCCCAGACGTCCCATCCAGCAGCTTTGCCAGGCATCATCGGCGCCGGCGCCGGCTGGCAGGGAGCTAGTGGGGGAAGGACATGAGAGCAACTAAGTCTGACTCAGCTGAGAGTCACCACCATTGTTATTCCCTCCAGTTCCGCTTGGAAATGGCCATCAGGAGGAAAAATAACCTTGTCCCCTTCGACGGCATGTCGGGGCCGTGGGGGAAGGGAGCAGATTTTGGTCGCTCACTACGGGAGGTGAGTCTAGGTGAGGGAGCTGTGCCATTGACTCCAGCTGCCCGCAAGCCCCAGATCCGGCTGAGCTGGGCTGGGCTGGGCATGGCACTCGGGGGTGGGAAGCATATGCCAGTTTAGCACTCCCCCGTACCAGCGCTGCCAGGGGCTGACAGCCTCAGGGCTGGCTTCATGCTACCCAGTGATTCCCCTCTGCCTGGGGAACCCTCAGGTGCCCTGCTGGGGTTGCTTTCTAGCCCCTTGGTGCCACTGGAATGCGCCAAGGAGCTAGCCCTGTGACACCAGCTGGACCTGTGGCTGCTCCGTCTCCCTGAAAAGCAGCCTCCAGGGGTCTCCAGCTGGGAATCCCCCAAACTGAGACCCCTAAACTTAGTGGCTGCTTCTGGCCCTTCTGGCCTACGCTGTTCCCAGGCCCAGGGTGCTAATTGTGAGCTGACAAGTCAGAGACAGGCTTCAGAGTAGCAGCGTGTTAGCAGACGTTCTCCCTTTCTGTTTTGCAGACTTCTCTCCTTCCGGCAGCGAGCGGCTGGACATGAGCCCTGCCTGGGGCGTGCTGGGGCCGGAGCAGACACAAGTCGCCTGGCTTGCGGCAGGTAAGCTGGGACCGACCCTCGCATGCCCCAGGAGCCCTGGGAGTGAAATGGGGAGTTGCTGCCGAGCTGCGGGGCAGGGAGAGTCCTGCTCACCCCGCCCAGCGGCTGGGCACAGGAAGAGCGTGTGCGCTCCTGCAGGGAGATGCCCAGACCCCACAAGGCAGTCGCATCCTCACTGCCACACACTGTGCCGCACCCTGTCCAGAGCCCGGGCGCCAGGCCCGGCTTGGGTGGTGACATCCCTGTTCTGCCACAGGACGGGTCAGGGGCCCACACGTCTCCGCAGGGGAGAGCAGCCCAATAACTGACAAATGCCCTGGGAGCCTCCTCCCAGCCATTGGGGTCCTCGCAAGAGCCCATTTCCTGGGCACCCACAGGGACCATTTCAAGAAAGCAGGCGGAAAAGGCCCAGGGTGGGAATGGCTGATGCTACAGCCAGTTGGGAACTCTGCTTTAGCCTTGGCTGCACCATCCCCTCTTCTAACAACCGCCACCCGCCTGAGGCTCACCTGAGAGCCGGGAGCCCCCCTCAGCCCCGCAGGGGAAGGATCCGACATCAGCACTCACTGCAGGACAGGAGCGATCAGCTTTATTCATTGGAAAGGGGCCTCTCTTCCTAACATGGAGCGGAGAGGTAGTCCCCAGGGGTTCCCCCTCACGCTGGCTCTCCGGCCTGTGGCTTGTTGCCATGCAGGCCCGGCCTTGAGACGGATGCAGGGACTAACGCTGGCCCAAGGACAGTGCCTTCCACACACACACACAAGCACACAGGAGCACACGGGGGAAGCAAGGGTTTTCAGCCCCCTGGGGCTCGCACAGGTAGAGAGCAAAGGGGGAGGCGTTCTACCCTTGAGACCACGTTGCGGGCCTGGCTCGTTGCTCGGGCCCTGCTCAGCCAACACCCATCGGCTTAGCAGGGCCGGGTTTTGCGCCAGGAGCCCTTCAGGATGCACCTCACCCTGGGACTGAGCTGGAAAATCCCCGCAGCCGGGGAGGAGGGTTGGCACGGCCCTAGGGCGCCAGGTAGAGGCCTCGCTGCCGAGGTTGCACATGGTGCTGCCTGGACACCAGGCCTCAGGCTACCAGGAGCGATGAACAGCATCTCACCAAACAGAGACAAGGGGAAACGGTGCCCGAGCCGGGGAACCAGAGACGGCATCGTGATATAGCACTGCCTGCATGGGGGGGACACAGGGGGTCCAGCCCCAAACACCCCATCCCAGGGGGTTGCACCCGCCCTGGCCCAGCCCCAAGTGTCTGGCTCCTCCTTGCTCCTCCTTACACCGTGTGTCCAGCTCACAACATCTCATTGAACTGATCCAACACGGTCCCTGCCCCCGCGAGCTCCCAGGCTGACCTAGCTGCGGCTAGCTGGGTGAGGGGGGTCGGGTGGGGAGAAGGAGAGGCAGAGAGCAAGGGGCAGGGGGTGCCGTTCTGGGGAGAGGGTCGTTTCCCCAGATGTAAATAATTTAATGCCCCCCCCCAATTTTTTAATTTAATAAAAAAATATATATTGACCTTTCCTGATCAAGCACATCAGAGTGACAGCTGTCAATCACTCCCCCAGCCCCCTGATCCCAAGCCTTCCCCTCTTTCTAAGCAGGTGTAGACGTTCCCCTTCCCCTCCATGCCCAGCATGGCCAGCAGTGCCCTGCCCCAGGCCTTCGCTCGTCCAGCCCCACAGAGTGGCTTGTCTGGGAGTCAAATGCAAGGTTGTCGTTGCCGGGCCTGGCTGGGAGATCGGGTGCCTGGCCCAGCATGAGATGGGTTTGGTTTTTCGGGGCAGTGGGAGCCGGGGGAGGAATACCCTTTAACAGTATCCTGCTGACAGCCAGGGCAGCTCCGCAGACGCCTGGCCTGGGAAGCTCGATTACCGCACAGCTGCCCTGGTTTTGCAATCCAGGTCGGCTGGCAGTGGAAGCGTCTCCCTGTGCACTGGGCACCTGGGGGGATTAGAGCCATAAACAACAAACAGCAGCCTTCTCCAGCACAGCATGTACCCACGGACAGCCCAGGGTCTAAACACTGGATGGACCTGGCCGAGTGAACAAAGCCAAGGAGGGCACGAGCCGACACCTCGCCTGGGGCCTCTGGCTGCATTTGTTAGTGCGGCCCTGGTGTGGTGAACTGTCAGGTGTAACATCCCACCACTGCCCCCCGGCGTGGGGCACTGACCCCTCCCGGCTCACGCAGCCCAGGAGACAAGAGGCCCCTACAAGTTCTAGACTCAGGCCAGGGTGCAGAAGGGGAGGGGGAGAAGCCGGGTCTCCCCAGGTCACAGTTACCACCAGCCCTGCATACTCCGTCCAAAAGCAGACGCAGGGAGCTGGGCATGCAGCAGCATGTATGTCCCCTTCATCGCGCTGGGGCCCTTGCCGGAGCGAGGACTGAGCAGAAGGCCTTGGAGTGGGAGGCCCAGTTCTCAGTCCCCCGGGAAGGGCCCTGGGAGGACCTGAGCGCTGGGCAGGCCGGGCGAGGACAGAGCTGATAAACGACACCCAGAGGCAAAGACACAATCACGTGTTGCCACCACGAGCTCCCTGCCTCAGATCTGTCATCTCAGGCACTGTCCAGATTGGCCCTTTGCCGGTTGCCTCTTGAAACCCCCCCACCCCAATCCCCCCGGGACTCAGCCCCGTCTGGGCCTGTACTTCAGAGATACCCGGCTGGGCTGCTGTGGACACAGCAAAACCCACGAGCAGAGCTGATGTCCCAGTACCATGCAATGGAGTCACGCCCCTCGCCCCCGCTGACCCTTTCATCTCTCTGCCCCCCAGCTCCAGGCCTTCTGCTCTGGGATCCACTTCCTGGGGCTCTCGTCCTGCCTCTGTGTTCTCCTCCGACCCACACTCCTCGCTTGGCTGGGTGTGTGAAGCCAGGACACCAGGGGGTTAGGCCGTGGGGAGACCTGGGACACGTGCAGCTGTTCAGGGTGCTTGGGAGAAAGGGACATTCGAATTAGACAAGGGGAATTAACGCAGACATCAGGAGACAAGGACAATGCGCTGATGCGGGCAGGGAGAGCCCGTGCTGGCCCCCAGAGCCCGCTTTGCTGGGGCACATGCAACGGGGGTAGGGTCTCTCTTCCCCTCCTCTCCTGCCACTCTGCCCCACATTTGGGGTGGGAACAAGAACCAGGGATCAGATGGATCCAGCCTGCATGGGGAGGAGGCAGGCATGAGCCCTTCCTTCTGCCTGCACCCTAGTGCACAGGCGGGTTTGTGCGTGAGCACAGAGCCGTGCACGTGTGCATACACACACACAGCTGTGCCCACATGGGGTGCGTACAGACATACCCCTGTGCACACACACAGCCATGCCCACACAGGAGCACACCCACACAGAATGGTGGATTGTGTTACAGATCCATGTCGCTGGGTTTGCAAACAGCCCCCAGTGATCCGCCTGTGGAGAGCGAGATGCTGGACGTGGTGCTCGGCTGCGTCTCTGGGTCCTGAGCAGGGCTTGTCCGGTATTGATGGCATTCAGCACTCCGCTGGTCCATCCATCCTGGCTCAGGAGAAAAGACAGTAAATGACCCTCGGGGACGTTGGGGGCTTCACCCTCTTCTGCAGCTCTGTCGCCGGCTCCTCACACCCCGGGATCCACATGTCCCTCTTGGGAAGGAACTTGGCCAGCCAGAGGCCTCTCCAGCAGGACAGGATGGTGGAGGAGGTCGAGCCACAGGATGGGGTGGGACTCCTGGGGAGGGAACAAGGGTGGATCTCACTAGATCTGCCTGACACATGCTACGGCCGGTGTTTAGTTTTACCTCCTAGCTCCCCTGTCTGCCCCCATTCCCAGAGCCCCTTTCCTCAGTTCAAATTGAAGGGGAGGTTGCAGGAAACCTTGGGGAAAGGGTAGCGAGTGCAGGAAAAGCCAAGGGCAAGTTCTGAGCACACCATGTATTAGAGCTCCTGGCAGCTTCAGCCACCCATCCGAAGCCATGGGACAGCAGCGGGGACCAGGGATGCATGGACATAAAGAACAAGGCAGGACCCTCAGCATCACACACGAACAACAGCAAGTTACCATCCCCAGCCCCCTGAAAATGGTCCCTCCGGGGTGTCCCCTCTCCGGCTGCCTCTAGGGGTGTTCAAATTTATGGGGTCGGGGGTTGGAAAAGGATTCAATTGGCAACACTGTATCTAGTTGACCACGGTGGGGGGAAATGGGGGAGTTTGGGGTGTGTGTGTAGGGAAATCCCAGCTTTCGGAGTCGGTGCTTTGGGTGCTGGGGCCAGAGGAATGGCTGTACCCCCTTATGAGACTCGCTGACTTCCCTGGCCATTCCCACGCTCCTGCCTTGCAGCAGCGGAGAGGGGCCCAGGCTGGGAACACCATCAGGAGCACAGTTCAGGGCGGGAAGAGCGATGCGTGTGCCGAGTGTTACCATTGCATTTTGACCCCCCTGGGAAGGTGTGGGAGTGACCCAGCACCATCATCTGGCCACTGTGCCAGGAATTACGGATTCACTGAACTTTGCTTCTTTTTCTGTCCCCTGGGCCTCTGTCGTTCTAAGTGAGCCGGGACTTTCCAGCTCTACGGATCCTGGCGCAGATTCCGGATTTGAACGCCAACGTTTGCCCTGGGCTGGCTAACAGCGGAACGTCACAGGGTGCTGTTCCTGTTCCCTGACTGGGTGACGGAGGTTTCCAAACAACCCCCTGTGAATAGCTGGCCGAAATCAAATACGCAAGCTGGTGCCAGCTGCGACTCACAGGGGGGACTCCTGCTGTCGAGCTCCAGACTGGGCTACGCCCAAGGCAGGTTTCAGATTGGTGTGAGTGCATGTGGCACTTCCCTTCGTCGCCCGCTCCGCTCGGAGAGGAAATCCTTGGCCAAGTGAGGAGCTCAGATCTGCTCCCGCTCAGGTCTAAGATCTCCTTCCTTTCAGCGTGATGAGCTCATGTCGGTTCCAGGACTACGGAGGGAGGGCTGGTAGCTTGGCCTCACCCCCAGAAGTCAGACCTGGTACAGCCGGCACTTGCTACACGGAGGGGGGGAAGTACAAAACAGCCACCTTCCAGTGGCTCAGCTGCTTTCCATGTACTGCAGGGAGAGACCTATTAGGAATTGAGTCTAGAGGGTTTCGAAGAGCAGATCTGAATGACTCTGGCATGTGCACTAACAGGGTGGGAGGGGACTGCTCAGGGAGACCCAGCCTCATGTGTCAGGGCTGAGCATATTACGCCCTGCAGCCTAGGATTGTGCAAATGGGCTTGACACCTCCCTGGCAGCATTTGGCCTGGGGGTTTGTCAGGGAGAGGAGTCTACACGGTCGGTCGGACCATTGGCCTGCTTTGCCTTGGCATTTCCCAGCTGCGTGCCATGTCCCATTCTGTTACATTGCACTGAGCAACTCAACAGGGGGAGTGTCGCCTAGTGGTAAGAACCAGAGATGGGAACTCGAGACATCTGTAACCTCATCCTAGCTCTGTCACTGATTCAGTGTGTGGCCTTGAGAAAAATCACTGAACCGCTCCATGCCTCAGTTTCCCCTCTGTAAAATGGTGATAATTAATGACACTTTCAGCGCTATCCTCCCACGAAAGGCCTTAGAGAGATGCCAAATACCATCCTCCCCCTTTTCAGCCTGTGCTTGGCACTATAGCATAGTCTGGGGGGAGAGATGGAGTGGATTTGTTCTACCCACTCAGGCCATAATCAACAGTCTCCTTCTCCCAGGCTGGGCACTTTGGGGTATGTCTCCTGCAGCTAGTGCCCATGTCCTCTGCCGTGCGTCTGCCAGGCTCTGGGTGACAGGCTCCCCTGGGAAGGGAGAGAGAGAACAGAAGGCTAGGGAGGAGGAAGCCAGCAGCAAAAGATGGACGGAAAATTGCTGGAAATTTATTTTGGGTTAAGATCCAGCAAAGCCCAAGGGCGGAAGCTGCAGAGCTGGAATCGGCTTCCTGCCAGAGATGTCTCCTGCAATTATGGAGCTTCAAGCTGATTGCTGGACTCCAGGTGTGCTCGGGTGACTCCCTCGAGCCTGTTGTTCCCCGAGCACTCAGTGCTGTCCTCCCCCTCGAGGGAGCAGGCAGCAGAGTGCCCTGCTCCTGGCAGAGGTGGGAATCGGCTGGAGGGGCTGAGCAGAGGCCTCAGGAACTGCCCAGCCGGCCTCCTAGCCAGAGCGTGGGGTTGGCGATTTGCAGCAATTTTCAGCGCTAGCCTGTCCCTGCTGTGCGTGGGCCTCTGGGCGCGTGTGGCCTTGACACGCTAAAGCTACACTCAGCTAGCTGCCCCCGCACATCCAGCAGCCGTTTCGTGATTCCCCAGGTGCCCTGCGGACCAGTGGTCCTTGTGGCAAAGCCCTAAGAGCCTCGGGCACTGCACTTGCCCAGCCTGCTTGGCTTGCTAGCACAGGGAGGGAGCCCGTCACCAGGCCAGCTGCACCGTCCCTTGGGAATCAAAGCCCGGTGCCCTGGCACAGTGTGACCATGTCCAAGGTTACAGGGGCCTGGCGTGGAGCCAGCAGAACCACCGTATCTAGCTCTCAGCAGACAGGTGACCCCGTTGTTTGCCCCGCCACACAGTCAATAAAGCAGAGGCCGCATTATCAGCAGGCGGCCGTGTGGGGCGGCTGGCAGAGGTGACTGTGACCTTAGCTGCCGGAGCCCTGCCCAGCTTTTCCAATGGAGGGTAAAGAAAGTCTCCTGCTGCAAATGTCTTGTTTTCCATGTGTGACCCAGCCCCGCTTTCTGCGGCGTTTACAGGCATCAGCACGCACAGAACCGCAGGGGCCAGCTGTAAACCCTCACCCCACAGCCGGGGAGCATGGGAGAAGGGCTAATGACGGCAAAATGCAGCCAGCCCGCTGCGCTGGCGTGGTTCCTAAAACCATTGTGCCAGAGCTTCTGGTATCTTTATGCGGCTGGAATGGGCTTGGAGAAAGGCAATCATCCCAAGTGCTCCGCAATGTGATTTCTTAATGCAGCCACTTCTGGGGTTGACAGCATCAGGTCCCATTATCCAACCGGGGTTAGCCCTGGAAATGAGGCAGAATAGCCTGGTGCAGGCCCATTGGATAGTCAGTGGAAAGTAATCAGCCTGCTGGAAACGGCTGAAGACTCTTCCAGTGCAGGCGGGAGTTGCAGGTTTGTCAGTGGCTGAGAGGGGCAGCTGTGCCCTGGTGTCGTTGGCAAAGAGATCCACTCTAGGCCTGTTACCAGGAGATGGAAGTACGTGAAACTGATTCATCTGGCCTGTCAACCAGTTCCACCGGGTGCTGATCTACACTAACCCGTTCACCGAGACAAGCCAGGAATAGATCTCCGGGAGGAAGGGGCCTGTGCTCTTCTCCCCTTTCATATGCAGAGGCAGAGCCTGCCAGCCCCAGACTCAACACAGCTTAGCTCCCCTCCTGCTTTCTAGCCCGGCTAGACTAGCCCCTGGCACGCAGAGCAGTGGGAGTTGTGGGCCAGTTGGGGGAAGGGAGGAAACGCAACCGAAAGCACACAGGAGAGCACGTGTTAGCCCTTTCCAAGCTCACCCACTGCGCATCGCTGTCCAGGTACTCACCCAGTGGCCCCCACCTCTGCCTTTAGGCTTCCCCCTGTGGCAAATCTAACTGTGACCTTCTAACGTTTGTCCTCGTTGGCTGTTGGAGGAGGGCAGCCAGGAATCAAAGGCTGAGTGCGTGTCCCAGAGCGGAGCCTACAGCAGCGGGCTGGCCAAGACTCAGGGAAAAACTCCAGCGCTGGAGAGGATTCAATTAAAGACAAAAAATAAAAAAAATCACTCAGTCACTCGGCGACACTCGGTGTTCCGCCGAGGCTCCGGGCTGCTGCCTCTTACTCGCCCGTGTCTCTGCGGCACCAGAGCCAGAAGGGCCCCCGGCGCTCTGGTTTGCATCACCTGGCGCCGGGAGAGAGTGGAGCAGGCTGGAGAGGAACCAGGATGACAGTGACTGCTGGGCAACTCAAACCAGCCCCATTTGTGGCCGGTAATGTGGTTATTTCCCCGGTGAAGGAGCATTTCTCTTCCCACGTCTCACAGGTCACCACATCCCCCCGAGTGCCACCGAGCACACTGGCCTGGCCTGCTGCAGGGAGGGGGCAGGGGTCTGACTGCGTGTTGGTGGGTGTGGGAGGGTGCCATTCGCTAGTGTGGCTGGGCTGTTTGCTACCTGGCCTCTCTCCATTCCTGGTTGACATTTAAACCTTTTATACATTTTTAACCTCGCGCATATCACTGTGGATGTCCCGCGAGCGATAGAAATGTCCAGGCCTTGTCCGAAGCGGTTAAGCTTTCGCCTCGCTAGATTCTAGTGGCAGGGAGTTCCAAGTGAATGATGAGCTGTGCAAACGGAACAGTGTTTCCTCTGACCAGTTTTAAATGAGCTCCCTTTCCTTTCCTTGGTGTTTAGCGAGAGGTGAGGAGGAGGTCCCTCCTCTGTCCCACTCATCATTGACCATTCAGAATGACCCTGGGGCTGCAGCTGCTGGGGCTTCAGTGTGCAATTTCCAGTGCAGGCCGTGCTTGCTAGACCAAGACATTGCCACCCGGCTTTTGAACATCCGTGCAATACAGAAGGTGTGGGGAGGGTGCCTGCAGGGGTGCTGGTCCCTGCTCTGCACCCCTCTCCCAGGCCAGGCGCTGCAGTGCAGCCCCCCGAGACGCGGAGACGTTTGCAGCGTTCACGCTCTGCTGGAGCATCTCCCCCCGGTGCAGTGGGCACGGGTGTCTGTCACCATGGAATTC